GGGCACCCCGCCATAACTCTCGGCGTCGCTGGGCGGGTGCGTCCCGGTTAAAACCCGGGTTTTCCGTGTCTTCTAGTGGTTTATGTGTTTTCCAACGCCCCCGGTGTTTGTAAATAGCAGGCGGGCCCGGCCGCGCTGTGCGAGTACCGGGGCGTGAAAGGCGGGTAAGTCGTGGGCTCTTAGAGCCAGTTCTTCCTAAACCCGGCCTGAAAAGCCACACGCCCGTTCACGGGGCTGCACGGAGAACGCGGCGCTTAGGTAGGCTTATGTCCTTGCTGGTTCTTGTCATCAAGCATTTTAACAAAGTGGAATATCAGTGATACAAAAAATTAAAAAAGAAAAAGAGCATGAGAGAAAAAGTCATGGTCAGAAAGACCTTTGCCTGTCGGAAAGAGTCAGAGGTATCACCTCTGTAGTGTATTTCTAAATAAATTTTAAATGCATCACATTGGGTTTCATCAGTGTGAATGAATGGGCCTGATTTCAGAACTGGTTGCGTGTTTTATGGTTGTGTGGAGTTTTGGAATCTGTTTCAAATCGTCACGTTCTTCACGCGCTGCTAAAGTGGTTGTAGTGAATTCTGCCTGTGTTTTCAAGGGCCTGGGTTTCAGCCCCCCCGCACGCTCTCGTAACGACTGGATTGGCCCCCCCGACAAGCACTCCAACCTACGGCCCGTCATCTTCTACGTGCCCCCCGAGGAGTCGCCCCTGGAGCGGCGGCTGCGGGAGGCACGGCAGGAGGCCCAGGCCTGCGACCAGCGCTTCTGGGCACGGCACAACTGCGCCTTCCGCCAGGTGAGTCCGGTGCCGCTCAGCTCCCACCCAAAATCGGGGGGTTTGGTCCCCATAAGGTAGGGTTCAGTTCTGCCTGCTGTTACTGGCTGGTAATTGATACCGTTTCTTTTAGTACAAACAGTGCCTTTGTGGAAATTACTTTTTTTGGCATTAATTTCTTTAAAATGACATACAAAACTAAAGAGCCAAAGTGTTGTATTGCTGCTTGGTGGCATAAAATGGTATTTGCATTTCTTCCCTTGCACTAAAAACGTAAAGTTGTAGCCACCCTACAGGCAAGAGCTGTCTGTGACTAGAGCGGCTGTTCTTGCTGTCATAAGTAAGATACAGTCACCAGGGGTGAATGGGGGGCGTGCCCTGTTGTGGTGGTAGTGTATCCCAATAAGGCTGAAAGTGGGGACTCTTCAGTCATCATATGTTGTCTTTCCTGATTTCAGTGTTGTTTAGCAGACACTGAATTTTGTTGGAAGAACAGTAACAGTTCAATAATTCACCGCTATTTGTGTTGATCTTTGATCATCATACCCTCCCAAAACTTGCAAAGATCTCAGAGAGAAAAAACAAAGCTTGTTTTTTTTAAATTCCATAGAACTGCTTTTTAAGTTTGAAAACTTACATACAAATAATGATTCTATTTCCATCTAAGTAATTTAAAATTTTTAAGGCTGCATGTTTTTCTTTGTACTGAAGTTCTCAGTTGTGAAATACAGCACATCTTCATAGTTTGCCTTATAAACTGAAGGTTTGGTTCCTGTCAGACAGTACTGAAGCTTGGCTGTCGCTTCACTCCACAAATAAGTTTTATATGTTTCAGTAGAACACTTGCATGAATTATTTGATGCATGCAGGTAGCAGGATCAAAGTGACAGAGTTATGTGTTAAACTAACTCCCTGGGTTCAGGAAGATGTTTTGCTGACATTTCCAAGTATGAGTACTGTTCGTTATTCCAGAGAGTATTAAGCACTATGCTGTTACGTGGTTAAAAGCAATGGTTAACTTCAAGGACCGAGTACATCAGATTCTAATATGGAAAAAACATGTTTTAGGAAAAAGAAGAATTTATTTATTCAAGACTGAAAGCCAAGGGTCTGGAAATGAGAAATGAAACAGGTTAGTGAGATCTTCATAGCTTAGGATGCATTCTGAATTCTGTCAAACTTTGAATTTTGTTAGTTTATGCTCTTTGTGTTCTGTCACAAGCAAATCCTGAGGGTAGGATTTAGAAGTGTTTTCAGGAGCGTGATAGAAACAAAAAAGGTGGGAGGAGCTCTTCAGAGCTGTGCATGTAGGGGTCAGATCATCCATTGCACTGTTCTTCCCCTAATTCCTTCCCCGCACCTGGAGGGAATGCACTGAAATCCTAGCCAAGAAATACAATCATTCTATAGTCTTCAAGAGGAAGGGGCTTTTTTAATTTCACACCTCCAAACGCAGCATCAGCCAAGTGAAACATACAGAGCCTTTGCCTCAAGTACATGTTATGGTTCGGTGGATGAATTCACACTCTTTGGCTTCGGGTCCGTGGTGTATACAATGGGACAGAGTAATTTTCCGTGAGGGAAGAACGCTGAGGTGACTGCAGCTGCTCGCCCGTCTTTGCCTGAGCACAGTTGCTGCAAAATAGTTGCCTCTCTAATTCCTGGTGTGAAACTGAAAGCAAGATGCCTTCATAATAGCAATGAATTGGCCACTGTAGTATGAGGCTGAACATTTTGTTCATAGAATAATGATCTGTTGGAGTTCAGTAAAGCATCTGCTCTGATGTTCTGTATATCACAGACCACTGTTTTTCTCTTCTGTTTGATCACATACTGGTGATCAGTACGTGGTTGAGAAATGATTTTAATTAAGATGTGTGTTGTTTAGAAAATGCTTCTTTTATATGGCTGTTTTGGTTTGGGTTTTTTTTGTTGTTTTATTTTTATACCCTAGGAATAAGAGAAAATAGTAAGCATGTGCATCCCTTGGAAATAAAATTATATTGGCTGCATGGTTGGATTAAGCATTCTATAACACAGCTGTGTGTGTGTATATAAATAAGAGAAATAATAATATGCATGAACGGTTGGAACAAAACAGACTTTTTAATGTAAGTGAATCTACAGTCAGTTCAGCTGATAGCAGTATGAAGAAACAAGTTAACTATAGGTGTTAAGTAGGCAGCCTTTCAACAGTCTTACAGTGAATTTATCCCATAGTATGTTAATCTATTGTAATATATCAGGTTTGTAAATAAAGGCAACTAGAACTGATCTAGTTTTCTAGATTTCTGTGATCAGCGTCAGGAGCTTTAAAATGCATTTTGGAACAGTAATAAGTTTAATATCACAGTTCCATCTCCCTCATCATATCCGTGTCCCCTGGGACATTCAAATTTGACTCTCATTTTAGAAACACTGGAAGTGCCAGAGAGTTTGTATAGGAATTATCTGGTAGAATTGAGAGTATTTGCTGGTTCTCAGGACTGTGCATCTGTTATTTAGCCACAGGTTTTCCTTTCATGCTCTGTGGAGAGAATCCATCTCCTCTTAGATTCTGCTTATGAGAGTGGCATATGCAAAGTCACCTCTTGTACTTGCTTCTTCAAAAATAATTGTCTACTAGATTGTTAATAAATCTGACATCTCGGAACATACATTCTTTGGTGTAAGTTACTTGGAATTTATCAACAGCAACAGAAAAATGTACATCTGAAAATACCGTGTCAGTCATGGGTAGTGTTATTTCTGTACTTATTGACTTGATTTAGGGGGGAAACTTAAGTAACTCAGTGTTCCTATTGGTGCTGTTTAGGCCTCAGCCCCGTGAGAGGTTAATTATACTGAAAGGATAGATCTTTGGACACTTGCGTAGGGGTCCACTAGTTCCCTGGACAATCTAAGACCTGGTACGCATTATCACTTTCACAAACAATAAGGACTTAAGAGCTATGCTAGTTTTGAGATATTTTTAATCTGCTGTGTTCCTTAAGTAAGTCTTAAAAAGGTGGAAGATAAAAGCATATTAACTTGTTCAGGCCTACATAGGAAGCTCCTAGGGGCAAGGAGTCAGACTTAACTCTCCTGCATCTGAACCCAGTGTTTTAATCCAAAGAAATGTCTTGACGTTCTTATGCCAAAAATTGTTTTCAGGACAAAAAGCAACACTGAATGCTGAAGAAATGGCTGACTTTTACAAGGATTTTCTAAGTAAAAATTTTAGAAAGCATATGCAGTATAACAGGTACGTAGAAGGTGTTCATGTTGACTATTATACGTTACAGTCAAAGTGAAAGGCGTGAGATCAAATTTAAAATTTGAACGATTTTTTCCATAATTGGTGAAACAGCACCTAAAACCATCGCTCTAGAACTTTTTTAAAATGGTGTTATTGGCATTTGACAGAAATTTGCATTATCATTTGAGTTCTACTGCCTATTGTTGGGTTGGTGGAGAGATCAATCTCATGTCTGAGATTCAAGGAGACAAGATCAGGCACTCAGGTTTTCTCTGTGATGGCATAGATCTTTTCATGCTGCTGATTCAAACTGAGAAATACGTGAGTAAACCAGTTGAAATTTCTATGTAACAGGTTCTAGCTGACTGTTAAATAAGGACTAGTAAATGTGCTTGATCTCAAAGGAAAATTGTTTAATGAGAGTACTATTTAGTATTCTTGGGTTTATTATTTTGCAAGCATAAAGTAAAAATGGAAGTGTTTAGCCTTGAGTTTGGGGGGTTTTTGTGTGGCAGACCATCAGTAAAATGATGGCCTGAACTCATCCCGTGTAAAACCTCAGCTACGACTGGGTAAGCCCACATCCACCGAGCCTCTTCACAATATCTACCTTGCATTGTTTCAGCGTTACTGTTGGTACAGCAACTTGACAGACTGGATTGGGCATCTGAAACAACTGGAAGAGTAACTTGGAAGCACACATTGACCTTCAAGTAGTTGTGCACACTTGGTAGAGGGCTAGAAATGAGGAAGGAATGGGAAGCAGGAGGGGGATAGCACGTAATCCAGTTACAGTAGCACTGCCTGCTGAATATGAAATCACAACTCCAGTTTCTTCTCTGTCTTGGATTGAAAGATTATTGGGCTCAAAGGTGTTAATTGTTACTGGGTTCCTAATGGTGTGATGCGAGTGAGAATTCTACCATCACTATAACTGGTCTGTAACAAATTGTGCTTTCGGGCTCTTTGTGTTGTGCATATACCGTAACATACTACACTGTAAGAACAATTTTACTGTGACAAACAAAATAAATATGCACATCTTGTCTTGCCCATGGGGGTAGGGAGGTGGCAGGGGGGAAACCTCACCATAAACCTAAGCACGAAAAGATGGAAAGCAAAAAATAACTATAAGGGGATTGTTGTTCAAATTGCCTATAACTGATGAGTGGGAAAGCAAATAGTTCACCTTAGAAGTGATTCTAAGTGATTCTGTGATTCTAAGTGGTCACCAGATGCCCTTGTGATAGTGACCCCAGGGTAGTGTCCTGTCTTCATGGTACGAGAGTTGAGGCTTTGTGCCTAACTCTTGTTGCTACCTTCTGAAATCAGGTAGCGTCAGTTGCATCATAGTTTCAAAGTGGAACTGCACAGCCCTGAAAGCAGTGGAGCTTTTTGCAGTCCCTCTGGTTCTGAGGGGTCGCATTTATAAAAATCTGGTTATGCCTTCAGCTGTTCGCTCTTCCACAGCGCTGCCAGCTGGCCTGAACGCTGTGGCTGCTAAAGTGTCTAAAATTTAGTGAAAATTGAAGCAATGACTGTGCATAGATGCCATGAATATTTAGTTCAGAGTGCTTAGACTGCAAATACAGCCTGGTTTAGGGGAAAAAAATTGAGAAGGATATAGGAAATGGGACGTGAAAGGGGAAAAGAAACAGTCACAATGTTAGCCTGATCTTTTGATTCAACATGACATTTGAGGGTGTAGCTCAGTGCTGCTTGTCAGTACGATTTTGGCTACTGCCCTTACAGAGAGGTTGGTATCTCTGGTTTATGTTAGATCTGTACATGCAAGGTTTCCCACAGAGATCAGAAGAGAAGATCTAAGTCACACTGTTTAATATTCCCTGCCAGTTCTACAATAAGCATATTCTATTGCTCCTTGTGCAGCATTTTACAGAACGGGGGAGGGATCCTTCTTAGACACTGGAAAGAAATGGGTATTACTTTAGTTTGTAGCAGGGGCAAGACTTTGAAGCAAGTTCTCAGAGGTTAAAAAGGGCTGATACAGACTGTCTGATGTGTGTCTTGAATTGGTTCCAGAAGCCATGCATGCTTCATAAAAACTATTTAAAGATATAAAGACTAACTTTGGCGATACTAAAGGTGTCATCTTTAAAAGGTGCTGCATCAGAAACACAACATTTCCTGTATTGGGTTATACAGTCAGTCTTTTAAGTGTGATTTCATTTTTTCCCACACTTGCAGTTGACTAGTTCTGCCCTAACCAACACACACAGCCTGATACATGCACAGCACGGGCAGGCAATGCTTCTAGATAGCTTGACGATCAGCTTTACTTCTGAAACATGAGATACGGTTACAATTATTTTATCTTTCCTGATTTCAGGGTCAGTTGGTCATAAAACTACCCGTCCCCTGACGACTTCACAGCTAAGCTCTCAGCGGTTGTAGCCCTCTAGTCCAAATGTAATCTGTTGTGGATAGTGACACAGACCTTTTCGTAGGTTATTGAACTCTCATTAGGCAGGAAGAGTGCTGCTACAAAGAATGGGAAATGCATGTCAGCGCTGAATTGTCGTTTTTCAATGCCGAAGGATATTTGAATATAATTGTGTACCTTCTCCCTCTTCTTTTTCTGTGTGCTGATGCTTTGCTGGCTTTGGAATCCTAGAGATTGGTATAAACGTAACTTTACTATCACATTCCTCATGGGACAAGTAGCACTGGTGAGAGCTCTGAGGTGGCTTCGTTGGAAAAAGAAAAGTGTTGGAAATTAACCACAGCTCCGTGAAGAATGCAACACTAGCTGGGCCTGCTGTAAACTTGGTGTTCAGAATCTCAATGACTAATGTAAAAATGGCTTGGATCTGTTTGTTCAACTACGTAAATAAAAGCTGCCATTGGTCTTAATTTTATATTCACTACGTAGGTTTCCTTTACCTTTTATTCCAAGGATATCTAAAATACTGCCCAACCAAAACACAACTGAGAAAATTCTTAAAAGCTGTTCCTGGTTCACATTAAATCCATGGATCACAACTGTTGTCATAGCTCCTGAAGAAGATGTGATTCAGTATGCTGTACCTCAGGTCAGAGGATGGTTTCTCCACCGACCATGTTGGTATACAAAGATAAAAATGCCTTGTTTTGCAGCAGTTGTCTGTCTGGGGCAGTAGCTATCCGTGAGTAATACAACGTGGCTGAAGGAATGAGTATGATTTGTGAGTGTGTATACAATCGATTTAGAATAATTCTCTCTTCAATGTGATTATTTCCTATTTGTAATAAAGATTTAAGATACAGTTTCATATAAATGACTACTGCAATAGGATCTTCTTAGGTAATTTTGTTTTAATTGAAAGAAGTATGCCCCCTTGGACACGAGTTCCTCTAACCTAGGACTGGTACAGATTTTGGTTGCCGAGCAATGAAGAGGATGTATTGCCAGTCGCTTAGTCTTGGTAGAAATGAGTCTGATACTTGGCTGTATGGAGGAGAACGACGCTAGTACTAATACGCACTGCTTTCTGCCATTTCATGTCTTTTCAAAAATGTGCTGTTCCCACCAGTTTTTCTGGGGCACTTAACTCACCTGAGGGCGATTTTTCCAGCCTCAAGGTGTGTAACATCAATTGGAAGGAGGTTGGTTCAAGCGAAGTCGTGAAACGTAACGCCATGTAGCTGTAATTCATGAGGAGTTCCATTCCTCAGAATGTTCTCCCTGTCCGTGCATACAGTGAAATAATTTTTTGGCTACGGTACCTCCTAAGAGGATCCTGTTAATATGTTGTGAAGTGAAGCGTGTTTTTCCTCAAGCTCTGCTACAGGGAAGGCTCTGCTCAGTAGCCGCTGACCTGCTTTTCATATCTAAACACGACGTGATTCATTGACGGGCTTTTTCAGCTGGAGCAAAAAGAGGTTTGTCGGTATCAACTGTAATCATTCCTTTGCAAGATGAAATAAATATTAATGACAGAGTAGCAGGTCGCACCGTTTCGTAGAGCGATGATAACGTCATTGGGGCTAATGCAGTCACCGAATCGTGGTTTTGACTGTTGTGTTATTGGTAAATGAAAACAGCCGCTAATAGCATTTGCTGAGGTGATAACCAGCGGTTCTAGGAGGCTATTTTGTGCAAGTTATTTACTGCATCAGTAGTGTAAAAGGTATATATTTATGAAAAAGTTACGGAATGCCATGTTTCTCTAGGAAAATAAATTTTTGAACTGGAGTAGTGTGGGTGCGTAATGTAATTTTTCAGGGCTTTACAATAAATCATACCTCACAGCATATAAGCTTGGACCACAGTGTGGATGCACACTGTAGTAAACAGTTCCAGTGTAAAAGAATGGTTGGATACTATGAGAAAATACCCCTGGCAGGCAGAGACCAGAGCCCCTGCGAGCGGGTGGTTGGTAGCCGTACGTTCTGGCAGCCTGAGGTGTCCCCAGGGTGGTTTCAATATGCTCTAAGTGGGTGGGGGTCAGGCAAAAGAAGGGTTTTCATCTTCTGAGCCACTTGCTGCTACTAACACAGACATTTTTGTGTCTGCCTGGCCTACTGAACCAGATCAGGAAATTCATTCGCCACTGGGACTAATCCAGGGGAAAAAAGTGATGGATGTCAGTTCAATTCACGTGCCTTGTCACGCAGATGTAAGTGTTCTGCTGTTGGCATGGGGGAGATGTGGGAATTACAGGGAAGGTTTGCATTGTGCTTCAGTTCAATTCGCAGTCAAAACTGGTTTCTGAAGGTGTGATTTTGGCATTTCAGTTGCTTGTAGGTAAAGTTCATGCCTTTAGGGCATTGCCTCTGTTAAGATTCTGTGTGGGCTGCTGGGTCCCTTCAGCTAAAGCCTATTGGAGGAGAGAGCTATTTGTTAAGTAAGTGTTGAGGTCTCATTTACAATATCTAACAGAACTACTGTGAAAAGATGTTATTAAAAATAATCCATCTGAAATCTTGAGTCTCATTACTGAACCCACATACACTTCCTGAGATAATTACATTTTCTGAACAGCCAAAAGCCATACCATTTTTGCCAGTGTTGTATTCCCTTTCCTATTTTTTTTCTTGACTCAGAGCAGTTGTAATAATGCCAGCTGCTTTCAGATATTATTGATTGTAAATCCTTTATACATCAAAGGAAGAATAAGGGGCTGCCACAGACTACTAAAAATAATTTTTTTATGTATACAAAGGCCTGCTGCAGTGAGTGAAGCTGGTGAAAGAGATCAAAGAGTGTCTTTTCTGTGCACATTTTCTGAGTGTAGCAAAAATACCGGGGAGTGTTCTTACCATTTAGGTATTTAGCTAATCCTGTCAGAAGGAACAGCAGTATTTCATGTTTAGTAGTGTCAGCATGTGCCTCTTTAATCTGCCTCCTCAGTAAGTGCATAATAAACCGTCTGTGTTTTGGTAGTATTCAGGTAATTTTAGTTGGTATGGACTTGGGGCGGTTATGTTCCGATAATCTGTGTGGGGTTTTTTGCTATTCACTGTATTGCTCTTCTGGAGCATTAATTTCAGTAGAATGAGAGGTGTCAGAGGGAGTGTTGGACAGGAGTTGAGAAGCAGACCAGCTAAAGGTTGGCTTGAAGTGACTGTAGCACCTTTATGTATGATTAATGAAGAACTGTCGATACATCTTAAAAACGCATTTCTCAGTTTCATTAGGGGTTTCAAAAGTGAGGGTAGCAACTACTGAGAAGATAGCTTCTATGTTTAACTGAAAAGTCTGTGTGATAAAATTAGCTCAGAACTCAGATGTTTTATCAGAAGCTGACCCTTCCTGGCCCCATGTTAAGGGGACGGTTCTTGCAATTTTTAACTTGCACTGTCTCGGAGCAAGATTGGTATCCTGCAGTGCAATTAGGTTTAGCCAAACAAGAACTTAATTTACATCCTGCGCAGAGCCCACAGGCCAGTCTTTTGCATAAAGACTGGGAGACTGAACTGCTTCCAGGAAAGGATAATGTATGCCTGGAACTGTAATATGCGTGAATAACATTTTCATATTAAAAAATTATAGCCACTGATTGCTGTAAACTGATTGCCAAAATAACAACCTCATAATTGAATATTCAGGTTTATTTATTAAAAAAAACCTAACGGAAACACAAGTTACTTTATTTCTTATGAGTTTGTTTATTATAAGGAGTCTGTAAGTACAGGGAATGTAATCATCTTGAAATACATCCTCAATATTCATTGTTACATAAATCACTTCTTTGTGCCTTGACTTTACATTCATTAATGGATAAAGATTTCCCCAAGTGTTGTGAGATTGAGTTGATTGATATATTCAAATAGCAAATGGCAGATGCTGTGGAAGTGTAAAGGCAGTACTTTTGGCTAGAAATAAGGCAAAAAATGACACGATTCCTTTTTAAGGGTGATCTTACTCGAGAGAAATACTGTTTTATAGTACTGCCCACAGTCAAAATGAGTTTTAGAAGCCATATAAACGCTCTGAAGACACGGTCCTTGTTTCATACAGCTGCTTGTGCTTTACTAGTTCAGACTAGGACCCGTTCATACCCATTCAATGGCGTTTGTTGCGCTTTGCAGGCAAAGTCACAGAGATGTTGCTTTCTGGTGTGCGCAGGTTCTCACCCATAGGGGTGGCCCCAGGTGTGTTGTGGACAGGGCCTGAGATGGCAGGAGGCAGGGAGAATAGCTGCCTGTGTCTCCCGAGACTGCCAGGAGGCAATTAGCACTCAGCTTAAGCTGGCGCAGCCCTGAAGCTGCTGTGATGGACCAGGACTGGCAGGAGTTTGCAGCAGCCCCCGTGCCAGTCAGGGATTGCTGGCTCTCGGCAGTACTCCTCCAAAGAACCCACTGATGTGATTCAGCTGCAGAATTGGCTGTGATAACTTTCATCTGCTGAGCCAAAACACATAAACAGGCAAAATTCAAGTTTCAAAATCATAAGAAAATTAGGTCACTGCTCAGATCTCATTGTTAAAGAACTTCCTGTTGACAAATCTGAGCTCCGTCTTTGTAATAAATCCCTGCTTTGGAAAATTTTTCATGTGATGATCAGTGTGTAACACTGTAGATTGGCTGTTTTTAAAGGGTTCCAGAACAGTTACAGATTTCCAGTTCTAGAATGGTTTGAATAATTAGAAGTCGAGATTCTTGGGCTGGTTGGTTGCAGAACATATTTTGTAGCCAAAGCTGTATGAAAAGGCAAAATCCATGAATTGCAAATTTCAAAAGAGATTAATTGGCTGCCTTGATTGCTTTCCAAGTGATAGTGTTATTCTGGATTGTCATATAGAAAACAAGATGGTATGACACAGCATAAATATTCTGTAAGCAGCCGAGTCAAGACAGTCCTGACCTTTGTAGCTGGAGAAACTTTACGTAGGTAGAAAGCTTTCATTTGTCAAAAATCGTACGAGACTGAAAGACAAAATGGAAACTACATTCCAATGAATATGTAAGAAAATGTCTTCTGGATTTACCAATCTTCTCACATTTACTAAAATAACATTTTGCTTTTAATGTCACGTCTGGAAAACCTCCAGTTTCCTCAGGCCTCATGAAAAATTCCATCATGAAAAGCAGAACAAAATACTGAGCTGACATATGAGTAAATAGCCACAGGTGCTAATTTGTGTCAAAGGAGGATTCAGCTCACTTCAAAGAAAAACATCAGCGCTGCCATAGGATGTTACAGAGCAGTTTTAATTGACAAGAGATGCTCAAAATTAGTTAATTTGCTGTGCTTCTCTGCTGCTGCTCCCCCAGTGCTGCTTTTGCTGTTGGGAAAAGAGAGAAAATGCTCAGCGTGGAATCTGGAGACTGGCTGGGCACGCTTAACCGGCACCACGGTATCGCAGCCACAAATCCGACTGCTGTGGGATGGAGTAAAGTAGGGTGATGCTGGGAGGATGCAACTGAAGAGT